AATGCGTGGTCGGCAGGACTCGAACCTGCGCGGGCAGAGCCCACATGATTTCTAGTCATGCCCGATAACCACTCCGGCACGACCACATTATTGCTTACTTTTGTACGAAGTTACATTATATACGTTTAGTCTTATCCCTTTATCTTTTGAGACTTTGTTTGCTTGGGTTGATAGGATTAGACTAAATTAATATGAGGTAGGTGGATTATACTGTATGGATATGTGTATTTGAATTATTAGATACATACAAAGATGGAAAATAAGCATGAGCCAAATGATTTTCAATTCCTCCATCTGCAACCATAGATTTGGCGCGCGGAAGAGCTTCAATTCCCAAGCGTAGCCAACATCCTCAAGGAGTTGATTTCAATTCCCAAACAATCTATAATACTTTCTACCTCACAACCCTACCCTAAATCCCTCCCTTTCCTTCTGCTACCTTGTCTTTCTCTTCGCCTTTTCTCTCTTGTACATGACAATCGTCGTCTCGCTCTACACCGCCAAGCCTATCTCCTTTTCACACACCACAGCCGCAATTCCCAGCTTGTTCGGTGATAGGTCGAAAAATGTGCACGTTTTATATTTTTAATAGTGTATTTTTATACACTTAATATATTCGCAAGTTTATATTTTTTTGACTTGTTTATTATTTGTATGGATTTATTTTCATTGAGGTTTTTGTGTTATTTTCAGGATTTTGGGTGTATTTTATGGTTGCGAAGCATTAGACGGAAGTTCACGTGATCAATTATCGCCTCCGCCGCCTCCGCCGATATCAGCTTGAATTTCAATCCAAGTCTAGGCCCAACGTTGATTCTTAATCCACTTGATTTGGATCCAAGATTTCAGCCCAAGTTTAAGAGATTTTAATTACAATAAAAACAGCCAGAATCATATTGGAAGCAATTAATTGATTGAAGGGGTCAAATTACTCACGCATGGAATTAAAATTAAAAGAGGAGTTTTGAAGTTGTTGGACACTTACTTGGAAGCCTTTGGTTTTGAGGGACACCTATTTTATTTGTGGGGATCAGCGTGAGTAGAGGGAATTTAATTTTTAGACGAGTAGAGGTTGGAGACGCAGAGAGCGCAGACAAAAAAGGAACGAAGCGGAGAGAAGCTGCACTTACACACAAGGGGAAAATATTATTTTCTTCTCTTTTATCTTTTATTTATTTTTATTAGTATGTTAGGTTAGACTTTTTATCCAGTTTTAGGGGATGTTTGAACCCTAACTTTGATTTGTCTATGGATTGAAGGATTTTTATTTATCGTTAGTTAATCGAGACGCCGTATTTATTTTGTTGATGAGTTGATTTATGTTATCTGTGTATCGTGTTTATGAATTATGGTGTTTGATTTCGTTTGGCCAGCTAGGTTGAATATCCATGGTTTAATTGCTAGATTCGAGGCTTTATTCCGTAATTGTTATTGTCTTGTTTAGTTAGTAGTAAACTAGGGGTCGCACATCTCTAGGGTAGCATGAGCATAAGTTAAATGGTCCGAGCTTTTGCGTCCATTGCTTAGAATGATCTATTTTCCTAAAACTTAATGCTGCTAGTGGATTAAATCTAGAGAGCTTATTCTAGGTTGTCCACTAGTTAGGTTTAGTCGAAGAGCTTATTTCGATTAAATATTCAGTAATGGGAAATTCGGTTAACAGAGCTTGTTGTTAGCTAGGGTCGGTAATTCATTAGCAATTTAAAGAAGGTGTCGAAATTAATTAACAGGTAGATTGAGATTGGGTGTTAACTGAACCGAAAACTGGACTTCTCTTATTTTATTTTATTTATTTTTATTTTTAGTTTTGTAAATCAATCCCCCCCCCCCTTATTTGCTTTCGTAGTGTAATTCAATTAATACGAAATTTTCACAATTTAATTCCTACTCCTCATGGGATCGACCCTTAGTCACCGCTACTACTAGTTAGTAGAGGTTAGTCAAGGAAAAGTTTATAAATTTAAATTTACCGCGTCGCGACGCGCGGTCATTCGGTCGTCTGTTCATCACCTTCATACGGGTCTGACTGCTGATGGTGGTCTACAACATCATCTTCATCGGCTTCCTCGTCCTCTTCGTCATCCACCAATTATTTAGCACTTTTTGGTGAATATGACCATTGTTTTGTTGTTTGCTCAACTAGTATGGCAGCTGAATAGAAATATGAGAAAAAAAAGGTGCAAGATAGGGAAAAAACATAAAGGAGATAAGGAAGAATATCTGGTGAACGTGTTCTTCAACAGTAGTGAAGAGAATTGAAATTATTGATTTATGGCTATTTTGGTGAAAGATTATTGAATTGGGAATACCATATTTCTTTCTAGCTATCCAGAAACATTTGTCATTTATATTTTCACTCAATTTTGTTTGTGTACGATGCCTTTCTGGGGGACACCTTTCGACAAGTTATAAATTGGAAATTTGAAATAAGTGCAGGTTACTCAAACATTCTTTTATTCTTTAGCATTTGAATTTCATGTGGAGTTTATTTTTACCATCTGTTATGTTTTCGTTTGGGCAATCTTGATGATAAGCAATTGGTGGCATTGAAAAAAGAATAAAAACTGTCATCATGCCATTTCAATTTCAAATAAGATTTAAACACCAACGGAGTGAGAGTTTGAATGGCTGGCCTTGATCATTGACACTCAGCCACCAAAACACCATCCAAANACCCAAACATCCTCAAAAGGCTCTCAAAAGCTCAAAATCAGATCCCCCATACATACATACATCCATCCATCCATTAAAACATTTTCCAAATACCCTGAAATGCTGCCATCAACTCTACTCAATCGTCCTCCGGTGACAATCATTGCCCGTATGTAGAGAGAGAGAGACAGAGAGAGAGAGATAAAGAGAGAGAGAGAGATATAAAAAGAGAGAGAGAGATAGAGAGAGATAGAGAGAGAGAGAGATGATGGAAGACGTTGGGTTGTCGGCGAGAAGGGTGATGGTGGTCGCGGACCCAACCCGTGAGTCGGGGGCTGCTCTTGAGTACGCGCTTTCTCACGCAATTGTTGACAAGGACACCTTGATTTTGTTCCACGTCGAGAACCCTAATGCATGGAAGAACCCATTTGGCTCGTTTTTCAAGAGAAATAATAATAATAACAATAATAATAGCCCAGCTTCGGCAGGGGAGGAGGTGGATTTTCTTGAGGGAATGCGCAAGCTATGCATGGCGGCACAGCCAAGGGTTAATGTGTCGGCAGTTAAGGCAGAGATGGGCGAGGGCAAGGATAAGGCTGCCGTCATTCTTGCGCACACCGTTGCCCACAAGGTTGATCTCCTTATTGTTGGCCATAGGAGGAGTCTTTCTAATGCAATTTTAGGGTGAGTTTTCTTTTCTTCTAACTCTTTATTCCTTCCACAATCTTTTCATTATCACCAATTTTTATATAGATTTGTGCTTAACATTATTACAAAAGGCAAAATTATTCAGGTTTGTCTTCCTACACTTTGGTTTTTAATATGGAAAAATCTTGTATGACATGAAATCTGGAATTTTAATTAAATTGTTCTATTTATACATACGTGCGATTCTTGTTTTATGTTGTTGCTTTGCCTTATAAATTATACCCTTTCCAAGATTTTGTCAAGGGAAAGATCATTCTTTGAGGGTTATATGGCCTGGCCTCATTTGTATTTTATTTTTTATTTTTTATTTCTTTGCGGAGCAAATGCTTGCGTACGTAGCCATGGTCAAATGTTGTTCAATTAAGCAAAATAATTAGTTCACTCTGCCATTTTTCGCAACAGAATGTCGCTATTACCATGGAACGTAGTAAGAAAGAAAATAAATAAAGAAATTGATAGTGATTATGAAATCTTGGTAGTTATTATTGAATTGCGCAGGTCTAAAAGAGGGGGATCAAGAGGATTAGACACAGCAGACAACCTTATATTAAACAGCAAATGTACCTGTGTTGCAGTCCAGAGGAAGGGTCAAAATGCAGGCTATCTACTCAGCAGCAAAACCTATAAAAACTTCTGGCTCTTGGCATAAAATGACAATGCACGATTCGTCTCAATTAGTAATCGTTCGCCTTTCGCATAGATGTTTTATTTATACTCTTTACCATCTTTGTTTTATTTCTAAAATCACTTCTGTTGCAATTTAAAATTTTCACAGCATCACATTTTCGAACAGAAGAGGGTCGAGAAAGATATATAGATCGGTCATTCATGTTGTAGATGTTCCACCTGTAAAAAAGTTGATTTTACATGTATTTTGTCATCTATGAAACCTTGACCTTCATTTTCTTTATGAATAAATATACCGAGTGAAAACACATGCTCCATTCAAATTTTGCATTTGCTTGGTAAGTGCCCTCAGTTGGAGACACTGTATATATAGTTTTTTTATACAACAGAAACCAGCATGGAGTGAATAGTAGTAGCAACTATTATAGCCCTCATAAAAATTCCACATAATTACAAATGCAGAAATAAACTCAGATGTTCAAAGTTCATCGTGCATAGGTTGTTCAAATTGAACCAATGATAGAAGAAGAAACCCGGTAACCATTATCACTCTGCCCCCCAAGTAATAAAAAGTAGATGTCGACGTGAGAAAAAATGGTATATAAAAGAAAAGTTCCGCCCTTAGGTACAAAGAGCTGTGGCCTGGCCCTTGTATTCGCTTTCAGCTTTTCTCTGTAACCCTGTTGATTCCTCTGTGTAAAAACATGTACAATGTCATGAATCATAATCTAAGTTGACACTTGAAAAAAAAAGGAGGTGCCGCAAGAATGATGCGCGAACAATTTTTTGTTTTTATCCCTGAGGACAAGGATATTCAAGAAGGGTCGGGAATGATGCGCATCGAGCAAACCAGCCAATCGAGCGCCAATAGTGCATGGTGGGAGTAGTTGTGTTAGTTAAGTATTTGGATAGGATAATTATGTTAGTTATGATTTAAATGTTTGAATGATTAGTTAGGATAATTTGAATATTTGAACGTTGTTTCTTTCAGTATTTAAAGACTATGAAATGATCTTGTAATACGCAAGTTTTATGAAATAAAGTTTAAGAAAAAGGCTCGTTTTTTGAGTACTTTCTTCGTGATAAACTGAAGCCGATGTTATTAGTTTTTCAATTATTATTGTGTTCGAACGAAGGTCGTTAGCGCGGGTTCTTACACAAACCCAAGTCCTGATTCACTTATTATCGTGTTCAAACCAAGGCCGATAGCGCGGGTTCTTACACAAAATCGAGTCCCGATACACGATTTTCATCAGGCTGCATGTACTCCATTCTACCTCCTACTAAAACACCAAAAGAGAAACTGTTAATTATTATCAATTAATAATGGCATCAACATTAGCAATCTTTTTCTATTTTTTTTTTTTTAAATGTATTACAACCTGAACCATGAGTTGACGTGTACATCTAAGACTTTTTGTGATACTCTCAGCAGCAGAAGTCATTCCTGCTTTCGTCCTTACAAGCATTTATGATTAAATTTCATTAGTGTTTCATGCTTTCGTCTTTAGTCAAAGTTACTATCTTAAAAATACAATCAACCGTCTATAAGACGACTTACAGTTTTTCCATATTTCGTAAGGAGTCTCATTTTTCTCTTTAGATGATATTTTATTCATAATAGTATGAAGAATATCTATATTTATATTAAAGTGAATCAGCTGGAACAAACTTCTTTTCCCGCTCAAAAAATCTCTTTTATTGCTTAACATAAATTAATCTAAATGCTGTCTGAAATTGAGAACTACAACAAACATTAATTGATGAATTAAATCAAAATAATCCATAATAACATCAATAATTTGATTCATGTATATGCATTAAAAAGCTGACAACAAATAACTATGTAGCTTTAAAAGCAGTCCAACATTCAATAAATAATTACTTTTTGTAGTCTGCAAACAAAATTAAAAAAGCGGAAATATTTGGTTCATGTATAGATATTAAATACATTTCCTTCAGTCCCAGCCACTAAAGTTGTGATGGAAATTGTGCTGAAACCCTATTCGTCCAGTCAACCCAATCATGCTGCAATCAACCATCAATGCTCCAATAACTTCTTTATTTATTCTAGCATTGAAATCAGTAACATCCAAATTCCAATTACAACTTTACCTTTTTGTAGCATGACCTGCAAGCAAAATCGCCAAAAAATTAGAGATTTAACCTTTGAAATCCTGTATACATATTAATAATGCAATCAACCATCAATTGCCAATAGAAAAAAAGTTGTATCTAATTAAATTAAAATTCTTATTAACAAGCTACAGTCAACATTCACTTATTGAAGTTATCAACATATCTTAAAAAATCATTAATTGTATCTTCAATTTTTTGAAAGACTAAGAATCACTATGTTGCTATATATATACTGAAGAAAATGGAAAAATAAACTACAAAGACTTTCAGTTTTACTGAAATAATAATAGCAAAATTGAAAAACAATTCTCTAAAAAATGGTTCTTTTCAACATGATAAGCGAGCTCAAACCTGGAAACATGCACTGGGGATTGCGTGTTCGCTTAGTTCGGTTGTACTCTGTCCCTATGTACAATGACAAGTCAAAGATTTCAAGTTTGGAGTGTGTTTTCCATGATAGAACTGTAAGTCAATTTGCATTTGTTGTACTTTATATATCAACTTTATCTTGACAACATTCATTTTTCAAATGTAGGGGGATCGTATTCACGCCACGGTGAAGTACGAACAAGTTTCGACTTTCCTCCCTATTTTGCAAGAAAATATGCTTTATAAAACGACAAGAGTACAACCGAACTAAGCGAACACGTAGAAAAAAAACTGCCTTTTGGGGGAAAGACTGTTGTGTTTGGTGGAGATTTTCGTCAAATCTTGCCAGAATGTTCCGAAAGGAAGACGACAAGATATTGTCCATGCAACTATCAATTCATCTGATTTGTGGAGACATTGCACTGTTCTGAAATTGACGAAGAACATGCGATTGCGAAATCTGAAGCCTGGTGAAAATTCCAGTGATTTGGAAAAGTTTGCAGATTGGATTGCAAGATTGGAGATGGAAATCTTGGGGAGGATGAAGATGGTTATGCAAATATTGATATTCCTGATGAGTTTCTGGTGAAGGAATTTGATGATCCGATCGCAGCAGTTGTTGACGCTGTTTTTCCCACATTTCGAACTAACCCGGATGATCATTCTTATTTCCTGGAAAGAGCTATATTAGCTCCAACTCTGGATGTGGTGAACTCTGTTAATGATTACATGGTTTCGTTAAATGCTTCGGAGGCAAAAAGATATTTGAGTTTTGATGCTCCCTGTCATTCTGATAATAATGCAAGTGTGGTTAATGATATCCAGACTCCAGAGTTCCTAAATTCAATTAAGTGCTCTCGCGTCCCAAATCATGAGTTAAATTTAAAAGTGGGGACGCCTGTAATGCTGCTTCGCAATCTTGACCCTTCTCTTGGTTTGTGCAATGGAACTCGATTAATTGTCACGAAACTTGGAAATCATGTTATAGAGGGTGAAGTTCTTGGAGCAGAAAGTTCACGTCAGAAGGTTCTTATTCCAAGAATGTCATTGACGCCTTCAGATCCGAGACTTCCATTCAAGTTTCAGCGACGACAGTTTCCAATTATGGTGTCTTACGCAATATCTATCAATAAGAGTCAAGGACAATCTTTGTCGAGCGTGGGATTGTTGTTGAAGAAACCTGTATTTAGTCACGGACAGTTATATGTTGCTATTTCTAGAGTAACGAACCCCAATGGTCTAAAAATTGTTATTTGTGATGGTGATAGTGATAATGAACCCGATTCTTCTACTATTAATGTTGTATTTAAGGAAGTGTTCCAAAATGTGTAATAAAATAAATTTTTTCTTATTTTATATGCCAGAGCATTTTTTTTTATTTTAAATTAGGAGAACCAAATTTTTTTAACACCATTTCCTTTTTAACATCATGCCGCGCATCGCGCGGGTGGTGTACTAGTATCTTAGCAAGAACAATAAGCAAACAAATACGGAAAACAGAAAAGACAAACCACAGTTATCACGAGGCAGATAACTTTTAAGGATGTCCAATATTAGCTTAGAAGTTAGAACCACTAATCACATTCACAAAAGCAAAGGCAGCATAAGTAAGCAGCTTAAAATGGATTCAAAATTGCCGCTAACCACCAAAACAAAAACTCCAACCGTCATGTACAAGGTTCACTAACTGTTACATGTTGATTTTCTTCATCTGACCAACATCTCCATTTCCAAGTAATCAGACGTGCCGAAATTCCTGTGCTTCCCATCAGCTACATTAGTCAACCGAAAGCCTCTGCTCGGTAGCTGGTTGATGAGAAGTGTCTCGAGTTGGCAAGCCATGCTTTTACCCACCACCAAGAAATATATAAACGATGCATTTTGCATTCCCTCTTCTAGGCGGTGAGCACGAACTCGGCCCTGAAGGTCATCCGTCTGCAACTCCAAAATTCAATGTTTAACATCACTTGACAATGTTTGAGAGTGGAAAACAAAAATGAATAAAATGATATTTCATTACAGATACATCTTAAGGAGCTTCCTGCAGATGTAGTGGATTGATGCTTTTTTTCTAAAAAAAAGGTTACTTTGATGCTCTTTTTTTTTTTTCTAAAAAAAAGATGATTTTGAAATTATGTTGTTAGCTATCTGTAAACCCACAGATCAAACAGGTTTTTCCTGTTTTTCAAACACATTGTGATAAGTACAGCCCTCAATATCTATCATTTGGAAACAAATGATATCCAAAAGTTTATCTTTTCTAATTTTCTTTCGCGGTAAATTAGCCTTAGAAAAGAAATATCCAAAAGGAAAATAAAAATTGTAAATTGCAATTTTAGTCTTCTATGTTTTACTACCACAACTTCTTCGTCCCCTTCGAATTGATTTTTGTTTTTCCGTCCCTGATGTTTGCAAAAGGGTTACAAAAAGGTCCTCGAGCATACATAAGGGATGGAATGACAACTTGTTTGCAAAACATAAAGTACCTTCTTGTTGCGAACATGACCTTTTTGTAACCTTTCTACAAACATAAGGGACGAAAATCAAAAATGCAATTCGAAAAGAACAAAAAAGTTAGGATAGCGAAACATACAGGACTACAATTGCAATTTACTCAAATAAAAGCATAGGATAGTTTGCAAAGATCTTGTAAAATAATGCAACCTCCAACAAAAAAAAAAATGTAAAATACATACCTCGCCTACGTAAATTTTCTTGTCCGGCCTAATCATCACATAAACACTCGACCCACCAATAGTAGATGGAGGCGCCTGCTCTTTAGCACCAATCGAAACACATCTCAGATCACCCAATTTCTCCCCACACACACTAACCACAGCATTCTCCACCTTCTCCCACAAAATCTCGAACCTCTCAGCAACACCCTTTTCAGTGGGCCCACTTTTCTCTCCAACTTTGACTTCATAACAACTATTCCCCAACTTTAACGAACTCTTTTCCCCATAAACCGAAATGTACAGATCGTGGGCCCGCTTAATCAAATCTTCCGGAACCCCTTCCCTCTGAGCTGTCTCGAACGCGAGGCTCTCTCTGCAAATGCCATCCATTAATTTCCACGTGGGCACTGTTTGATTGTTGACGAGCCGGGCTCCCATGGCTTTAAAGACTGCATTTTTGGTTTTCAATGGGAGATCGAATATTCCGTGGAGGTGAGTGGAAACTATGCCGAGACAGTTGATTGAATCGAGTTTCTCGATTATGCTGCCAGCTATGCACGTGCCTTTGGCTGTCTCTGTACCTCGGCAAATTTCGTCGATGAGGACGAGGCTTTCTGAGGTGGCTCGAGTGATAATGGAACGGATTTCTGACATTTCGACCTGGAGTAATTAACTCAATCTTGTTTATAAGGTATAGTTCCAGGATATAGCATCAAGATTTGACCAAACTGTGAAGGGGAAATAAAAACAGCCAACTGTAGAAATTGCTCAAGATTGCAACTTGTTCTTTGCATTTGCTGATGCTGTTTGGTGGAGCTAATGGGAATTAATTATAACACATTTTCCATAACCGCAAACTGTCTAAGTATATAAAATGACCATGACTTTCGATACTTTACTTAAATCCCAAAGGTACTACACATAGTCGAATGAAAGTCTTGGGATCTTTAAAAATTTAGATATTATTTTTCAGTCTTGGAAGAAACTTGCGAGTGGTTTAATTTAAGAGGGTGTGTTTTACATTGATATACAACTATCGTTTGCAAAGTATAATTGCAAACACAACAGAATTTTTTGTTCATAGGAAAAAGAAAGTGAAAAACTGAGCAAAACAGATAATCACCTGAAAGGAGCTCTTTCCATCAGCAGGACTATCATAAGATTTCATGTGGAGCATAATGGAGTCAAAATGAGGGATAACAGCTGTCTCAGCTGGGATCATGAATCCACATATTCCTAATAATGAGGCAGCACAAATTGACCTCAGCAGGCTCGATTTCCCACCTCCGTTTGGTCCCGTTAAGAGAAATAGTGATTTCATATCAACGTCGTTTTTTACGGCACGGCCTTGAGATGAATCAAACCAGTATGGAGATAGCCCAGTTATCTTCATACCCTCAGATTTATGTAGGGTTCCTTTATCCTGCACAAATTTTATAATTTTAAATTTTCGACAAAATCATTATTCTCAACAGGATTATCATTTTTTTTTATTAATAGAACAAAATAGGGCTAGTAAACTAAATTACCTCAGAACTGTGGCATTGAGTGAGAGTGGGGAACACCCATTTCCTTCTTCTACCTTCACTGGATTAAATAGACAACAGTAAATGAAGTATACGTCGTTCAGATAATTAATCAAAAACATAATGGGAGTTTAAAAAAGAGATTAAAAAGTATTAAATCAGGAAAGTAAGCAGATACTAAAAGGAATGGGGAAAACAGAAGTTACTATAACTGTATCAAGAATTCTCTGTATTCTGGACTAACCTCACGTGGCCAAATAAAGCCTTGGCAATTACAAGCAATGTGGATGCAAACACTAGGATATTGATCTTTGCTTGCAGCTCAGCAGATAAATTGCGTAATAGTTGCAGGACTTTTGCTTTTGCTTTGTCACCAGCCTCATGATACCTGAATGAAGAACACATCAACAGTGATGATAGTACACAATATAATTATATTGTTGAATAATAAAATATACCATGACCTCTCGACTGTTAAAATTGAAAAAAAAAAAGAAAAAAAGAAAAAAAAAAATCTCAATACAAATTAAAAATAAGCCTTTGAGATTTGCATCTTTACAAAAAGCACCATCCAAGTGGTATTTTAGTTTGAAGGATAAATTGGAGCTTTCCGTAAAAGCACCGAACTTCCATGGTGCTATTTGTTATTATCCCTACAATCAAAAATATCATAATTTACATAAAAACCCAAATATCACCTGGCTAGAGCCTCCTCCACCTTCAGCGTGGTAAACCATTCTTCACCAACCTTTTTTCCTTTAGAATCAAAGGCAGGTCTAAGCCGTTTGATTTGTTCTTCTCCAGGCGTACCAGCCCAAACAGACGGTGCAAAACGTTTTCCCTTGAACCAAACAGCTTCATGCTCACGGCTGTATAATATCTCCCCCTTTGGCCCTCCAAGGGGTGATGTCATTGCTTTAATTCTCCCAATAATAGGGAGAAAATCTTCTTCAATCTAAAAGAATAAAAAAAACATCAGACATATGCTAAAAGAATTAACAACCATTATGTTGAAGCAGGTGCTAACGCTTCTATGATTTGTAAGATTTTCCCCTCAATTCTTTATCCAGTTAAGCTCAATATTTTCGATAATGAGGCTCGACTCTGCATTTTATTCTCTCCAGCTATAAGAATTAAGTCCCCTTTATATATAAGAAATACATTTATCCCTCAAGTTTACAGTTTCAAGGGATTTTCGTTGGTTTTTCTTTAAAGAATAAAAAGAAAGAAAATCAAAGCATCAAAATATAGTTCGGTAACTGTCCCTTCACATAGCTGAAGGAACAATTACCAAAAACGACCACTCCAGTTAAGCATAAGTGCAGAAAAGTCTCCGGTTTAACTTTCGTATCAGTTGCCTCCAAAAGCTCAGACAGACTTACAGCTACAGATAAGGCCTTTGCAGTTTCATCCACTTCTGCGAATTCTTCTTCTAAGTGAATTCTCTTCACACGACCTTTCCATGAAGATTCCATGTCATCAAAAAACTCATTCGGGATAATGGTGTGTGTTGTTATCCTCTGATCACGTTCACCATCCAAGGAAATGATTTCACCAATTCTATGTGAAACAAATTTACATTCCCTCGCCTGATGTAAAAAGTAACATTAGTTCTGTACTTTTCCCCTCAAAACTTCACCATACAAAATGAGCATAACCGAAAAATCAGTACTCGGTCAGAAAACCAATTACTCACTAATGTCTCCAGCTCGACTTTCAGTCCAGTAGCCACCCAAGTAGGATCCATCAGTAATTTGAGAATTTTATGGAGCTCTGAATTTGAATACAATTGTAATATATCGTCGAGAACACTTTTTATTTTGCAAAACTCGACATGATTGGTTTCCCTCGACTCAAGCAACTTCACTAGCTGCAGATAGACCAGAACATAGAGTACATTTAAATTTCATTTCATAAGATCGCATTATGGCACCATTCGGGAATAAAAAAAGAATGATTACATAAGAAAATACTGATCAATAATAATTTTACTAAAATTCATGATAAATATAATAAGAAAAACGTCCAACCACTAAAGGTACATAGTGGAAGTAGATAGGTTTTGAACCAAACACAAAAATAAGAATTGAACCTTAGCTGGAGGAACACAGGTGAATTCGGGAATGGCACATGTTATATTACTCATCAGTTTGCAGGCTTCTGAGAAAGACAAGGAAGAAAAGAGAGTAAAAAGGAAATTTACCGATCAGAAGACAAGGAACATAAGAAACAAACAAAAGAACCATGCATACCAAGCAAATATGTCAACAGGCTAGTTATGCAAAAAGTTAAAAAAACACTTCTCTTTCATGGAGCATAGAAGTACACCACCTTTTTGACATGTTTCATCATAGCTAAGGATTTGGAAACAAATTTGCCTTTCCGGTAAATAAAAAAAGTTCCACGGCTAAGGAGAATAAAAGAAATCATTCACAGAAAATAAATTTGGAAAGGCAGGAGCGTGAGCCGTGAGGATACAACCA